TTTCTTTCTTCCCGGGCATGGTGACACACGCCCTTAATCCTAGCACCCAGGAGGCAGAGGCAGGCAGATCTCTGAGTTCGAGGCCAGCCTGGTTCACCGAGTAAGTTTTAGGGCAACCAGAGTGGTTATACTAAGAAACCCTGTCTCAAAAAAAACAAAAATGAAAATAATAGTTTTCTTTTTTATAATGTAGAGTCTCCTTAAGTAGCCCAGGTGGGCCAGGTGGTGTTGGCACTGATCCCAGAATTTGGGAGGCAGGCAGACCTCTGAGTTAAATGCCAGCCTACAGAACAAGAGCTATGGAGCAAGTTCCAGGGCATCAGGGTTATGCAGAGAAGCCATGTCTTGGGGTAGGGGAGAAGTAAAATAGCCCAGGCTGGCTTTGAACACAAAAATCCTTCTGCCCTAGCCTCCCAAGTAGCTGGGCAGACACCACCACACCCATCAGGAAGCCAATTTAGTAACCTTTTCAGTTTCACTCACACCAAGGCTTGTATTAATTGAATTTTCCTACTGTTCTCGATGTGGTTTTGCATGAGAATTCTTTTTTTTTTTTTTTTGGTTTTTCAAGACAGGGTTTCTCTGTGGTTTTGGAGCCTGTCCTGGAACTAGCTCTGTAGACCAGGCTGGTCTCGAACTCACAGAGATCCACCTGCCTCTGCCTCCCAAGTGCTGGGATTAAAGGCGTGCGCCACCACCTCCCTGCCTTTGCATGAGAATTCTAAGTCCTCAGGAGTCTTACCTCTTTATTTTTGAGAAATTTGTTCTGCTTATGTTTTTGCTTGTGCATGATGTCTCTGTATATAGTTAGTATGTTCATGTACACGTGGCACACATGCCACTGAGCTCCATGAATCTGCCTGTCTCCACTTGTAGTTCTAGGGTTACAGATGCGCACTGCCATGTCTGCTATGAACTTCAACTCAGGCACTTTACCAGTGGGGTCATCTGCCCAGCCCCTGCCCATCTTTATATATAACTCTGAGGTGATATCAGTTTATTTAGAGGTTACACATTAGATGCTTAGATGAGTAGAAATGACATTTTTAGCTTCAGGACTGTTGTTCCCAGTTATGTACTACCCGAGAACAGGACTCTGGACTTCTGGACTGCAGACACTGATCCATTCTAATGGAATCAATAGCCTTCTCTGTGAAAAAGGTTTTGACTCCATGGATTCTAATGTCTCTTTGTACTTTTTCAATATAACTTGCCAAATTTATGGGCACAAAAATAATTGTTTTAAGAACTAATTACTACATTTAGGCAGAAAGGACTTAGATAGTATGTGTGATCAATGTTAACTTGGTTTGCATTTAATTGTGGTCGATTTCACCAAATCTGAATATCTAAACTTTTCTTTATTTTTGAATTTTTTGTAAAGTGCATTTGCTGAAAAAAACTCTGCAGAAATGTGAGAAGAATGGGTGGATGGAGCAGATCTCCGGGAAGGGGTTCAGTGGGACTTTCCAGCTGTGCTTCCCGTATTACCCCAGGTGAGCTCCCAAAGTGAAGCTCTGGCCACTGTAGGCTTGAATCTGCTTCTGAGTTACAGCCTTGGGTTAAAGAGCTTGCCTCATTACTGTTACTCTGAACTGGAACTCTCTGAAAATAACAACCACAAAAGATTCTTAGTAGGACAGGCATCTCTGCCGTCCTAGGAGAGCTGTGGGTTTGCCGGCTCTTGGGAAGTCAACTTGATGCCATTCTAATCTTTTTAAATGGTAGTAGGGGTCAGATTACCAGAGGATTAAATATTTTAGTTGTCTAGAAAACCAGATGGGGAATCCACCTTTGCCTGTTTCCATAAATCATAACTCTGCCTTCTTCAAACTTTTATTTGAAAAACTTGTCTCCTATTCACGATGTATTTGTCAAAACAGTAACAGGCATGAAGCTCTTAACAGCCATGCATTGTTCTGTGTATTGGTACTGGAGCCCTCTGCCTTTCCATTTCTAGGAAGACCATAGCCTGAGCTGTGGGCTCTTTTTCGGCAGCTCTGCATTGAGACTTGCTTATATAATTCTTAAAAACAAAGACATTACTTTAGTGAATGTACACTTGGATTTTTAGACATTAAATAGTAGATTGAATAGTTAGGTCATATACATGTTTTAATTTATGGACACACTATTAAGAAAAGTTAAAGAGAAGTGTAGAGAACAAGATTCTTGCCCAATTTCTCGAAAACTTTGAAGAGCTTTAGCTTTTGAGTTACTTGCTGGCATTGTGAAGGCAAAACATGGTGACTGTTGTGCAGACCCCTCGCTTCTGTGTGTTTGGGGGCAGATCCACAGGGCAGAAGGTTCGTGACTGCTTACTACAGGATGAACCTTTGTACTGCATGATGGGAGGAAAGGGATGAAATATGATGGAGAACTTTCCTACATTTATGTTGACTTTGTGCATGTGTTCAAAGTAGGTTAAATTCTAAACAGATATGTGTAACCTAATGACGTTTTTGAGGGAGTATGTCTAGAGTGGGCATGTCTGGTGACAGGCTCTAGGGTCACATTATTTTCCTTGTCCTACATGAGACTTTAACTTTTTCCCCCTCCTTAGCCCAGGAGTTCTATTTCCAAAGAAAGAGCCAGATGGTTCTAAGGATGAGGATGAAGATGAAGACGAGGATGAGGATGAATCATCAGAGGACTCTGAGGATGAAGAACCACCACCCAAGAGAAGGTGTGAGACAAGGAATCTGTTGAGGCAGAATAATCACTATCTCAAAGCTAAAGATGGATAAAATTCCAGCTGTCAGGGAGGCTAAGGCAGGAGAATTGAAAATTCATGGCCAGTGTGAGCAATTATTGAAACCCTCTCTCAAAAAATAAAGGATCAGGAACATAGCTCAGTGGTAGAGTGTTCGCACAGAGTATGTGTCTAGTAGCACTCAGAATCCAGTGGTACTAATAGGAGGGGCTGAGCATAGGAATGTGTATTAGCCACTGAGATCCTTCTCAGATTCTGAGTAATGTTTAAATGATCTTCTCCCTTGAAAATTCAAGGATTCCAAACTTCAGGCAGTGTGAATAAGTAGTTTCTTGTTTGTTCAAACATAATATACATGTCTGTAGTTTATTCAAAGAAAAATAACTCCATACTATCTTAAGAAGTCATCTGTAGACTTCCATGAATCAGTTAAATTTGTGTATACCTTGTATGGAGAAATCAAGTCAAATTTCTATTTTTAACATAGTGATTTCTGTATAAGCTATTTCTCTTAAAGCAAAAAGAACTTGTCTTGGCAAAGTGACTCTCCTGCATAGTGAATACCCTTTATTCTTTTGTTCTCACAGCTTACAGAAGAAAACCCCAGCCAAGTCCCAAGGGAAGGCTGCATCCATGAAGCAGAGAGGGTCCAAGCCTGTGCGTAAAGTCCCTGCTGCCCAGAGAGGGAAAGTGAGGCCGCTGCCCAAGAAAGCCCCCCCCAAGGCCAAGACCCCTGCCAAGAAAGCCAGGCCCTCACCCTCACTCATCAAGAAGCCGAGCGGGAGCTCCTCAAAAAAGCCCACAGCCAGTGCCAGAAAGGAGATGAAACTCCCTGATAAGGGCAGATCTACCATGAAAAGATCTTTCAAGGCAAAAAAGTAAATTTTATAGGAAAAAAATGGGTATCATGATAGAATTCAAAATCTTATTTTATAAGGTCAGTGTGCATTTGTTTTAGTCATGACGCTTTCAAATTTTATTTTTTTCTTCCCATATGAGCATTGTGGGAAGGAATATAAACAAACCAATGTAGACATTTGTTAGCTTTAGGTACTGTTTTCAGTGCCTGCCTTTTCATCATTTTCATTTCTGCAATAATCCTGGACTTTGCTGAACTACGTAATCTACCCTATTCCTTTTGCTCCTCTTAATCTCAACCTTTTCTTTTTTTCTTTTCTTTTTTTTTTTTTTTTCTTTTTTTTTATGGTCCGATTTGGGTTTTTTCCCCTTCAAGTTAATCTAAACAGTTGCAAAGACTTAGATTTGTAGTAAGCACCAACAGGTCAGGTGCTGGAAGTCACAAGGAGGCAGGCACACTTGAGAAAGGCATTGCCTCTGCCTGGAGACTTTGAGCTGTGGTGATTAACCCAGGCTATGAAGTCACTCCACTCACCATTCTCTCCAGCTTGAACTTTGGAGAAGCCCTCGTCTCTGTGATCCTCTAGATTCTAAAGATCTCCGCTCCTTTGGCCGCCCTGACCAATTGCCAAGCACGCTTTGCTGCCCAGAGCATTGTTCCCGTAACAGCAAGCACAAATTGTCTGCACCACTTGGTTTTTGACTGAAGAGGAAGTACAGGAATATGTGGAATCTGATTTCTGGTGTTGCTTATATTACCAAAAATGAGGAATATTCTTGATCAAATGTCTAGATATATTTTTAATATGTGGGGCATGAGTTGTCCCTGTTTGCGAGTTTCCATTACTAATGTAGAAATGTTAAGTGATAAAACATATAATTTGCTAAAATAACCAGATTTCAGATTCACCTGTGTGCCCCCCCCCCTTTCCATAGCACTTTTGATATCAGGCAAATGGTTTCCTTTTTGAGATATTTTAACAGAAGAGAGGAGAGGGGGAAAAGCAAATGAAGCTGTACTACCTAACCCTCTTTGTTTGTGTTTGTTTTAGGATATTGTGAGGTTGTGTAAAATAGCACTAGCTTTCTACTTGAGAAATAACAGTTTCTGCTTATCATTTATTCCTTCCCTGTAGCACTTGACATTTTAATTGTCTTAAACTTTTGATGTACATCCTCTGGCCCCTTACATACTGCCAGAGGAGAATGTGTTTGTTTGAGATTCATTCCACTTGCAGTGTCCCTGGGATCCCAGCAGCTTACATAGGGCTGGGAAATGGATTTGAGAAAATGGGCTTGAATTGGATGATAACCTGTGAGATCCCATCATGAGTCATTGGGATTTGTGTTGCATGTAAGGCAATCTTTCCTGTTGTAAATCTTCCTTTTTTATGTACATATATTTTGAGAAATATGAATAAACATGAAATTTTAAAAGCTGCTGAACTACACCTTACGTCGAGAAGTGTTCAGTGTACTCTCAAGAGTAACTCACATTACCTGCCCTTTAATCTCTGCTCATGCAAGGAATACTATTGCTTGCTTCCTTTTTTTTAATTAATTTATTTATTGTACATTGCTGTTTTGCCTGTAAGGGTGTTGTAGGAGGCTGCTTGTTTGTTCCCTGCTGCTCAGCCCCAAAATAATCACAAAGAAACCATATTATTTGTAGTACTGTTTGGCCAGTAGCTTAAGTGTATTTCTGGATAACTCCTATATTCTAAAATAGCCCATCTCTATTAATCTGTGTATCACCATGTGACTGTGGCTTACTGGGTAAAGTTCCGGTGTCTGTCTCTAGCAGGGCTACATGGCTTCTCCCTAAACCCACCCTTCTTTCTTCCAGCATTTCAGTTTAGTTTTCCCCATCTAGCTCTTCTCTACCCTATCACAGGCCTAAGGCAGTTTCTTTATTAACCAATGGTATTCACAGCATACAGAGGGGAATCCCACATCATAAAGGTGTCGGGTTCCTTGGAACTGTAGCTGTCATGTAGGAACTGAACCCATGTCTTTTTGGAAGAACAGTCAGTGCTCTTAACTGCTGAGCCATCTCTCCAGCCCTCTTACTTCCTTTTTAAAGACAAGCTTCAGCCTATTTTGATGGTCAATGATATTTCCTTTGTAAATATTTTGTTTGCTGGTTGTTTAATGACTCAAAGGTTTATTTCTTTCCTATTCTTTCTTTTCTTTAATTTTGTTTTTTGAAGACAGGGTTTCTCTGTAGCCCTGGCTGTCCTGCACTCATTGTGTATACCAGGCTGGCCTTGAACTCACAGATCTGTCTGCCTCCCAAGTGCTGGGATTAAAGGTGTGTGTCACCATGCCAGTCTTAAAGGTTTCTTAAGGAATCACCTTCTATAAAAGACTTTTCTCAAGATCATAAGAGTTTAATTAATATTAAGTTTTGTTTAATTAATACTCAATATTTAGGGAAATCCTTGGGCTGGAGAAAATGACAGCATAGTTAAAGGACAGTAGCCTACACTAGAGACTTCATTCTAGAGAGTGTTTGAATTTCTCTTGTGCCGCTTGCCAGGTAATGGTTACTAATAATGTGTTATTAGCTGCCTGTAGCAACAATTTTCTGCTGTTTTGGAATCAAAAGTTGGAGGGTTTATCTGTTTTATGATATTGCTTCTGAAAAGATTTTTTGAGTGATCAGCTGGTATCTGTATGTACATCAGGCACTTAGCGTGTAGTATGAGAAGTTGAAGTCACTTAATGTCTCTTTCCACTGTGAATTCTATTACTTTACAAACTCTCAGGTTAGGACAGTCTGCTTTAACATCATAGGAAGGGGAAGACTGGATTACTCGGTTGGAAAGCCCCAACTGTCAAACACACACACTTTGATTGCACTGACATAGACGTCTTGATTTTTGCTTAATTCTGTGCACTCAGCAGAACACCTTTATAATTTGCACTTCTGTGTTAAATAGGAAGAGCAAGTGGATCTCTGGCCTAATGAGCTGGTTTACAGTGTTTTGTAGACTCTGAAGCCACTTGCTACAAATACAAACCCTTTGGTAAATGAGTATCTGAAGGTGCTTGGAAGGAAGATGGTTGAGTTAAGCTACATTCTCTGATGTCTTTCCATTTAGCAAGGGTTAGACCTGGTCCACCTGAGCCTAATTACAGCAGATCTAGTCCTGTGTCCGTTTCAGAGAAGACAGGCGTGGGTCCAGGCCTGTCATCACCACAGCAGGAGCTGTTTCAGTCATGACTGTTGGCAGTAGTTTGTGGGAAGTTTATGTGAAAACAAGAACCCAACAAATGCAACACTTGGCTTGCTACTCAATGTGTTAGCTCTCTGTTTCTGTGACAAAATAGCAGAAAGAATCTATAAGGAGGAGCACCTTTAGTTTGTGTTCAGTTACTTTTCAATTGCCATGACCAAGGCAACCTATTAAAGAAAGTGTTTAATTTGAGGCTTGTGGTTTCAGAGGGTTAGAGTTCATGACCCCATGGCAGAGAGCATAGCAGCAGATGTGGCCCTGGAGCAGTAGCTGAGAGCTATTTAATCACAAGCACAAAGCAGAGAGAGGGAGAGAGAGAGAGAGAACCGGGAGTGGCATAGGCTTTTGAAATCTCAAAGCCAACCCCAGTGACACACCTCCCAGCAAGGTCACACCTTATCCTTCCCAAACAGTTCCCATCCACTGTTTTCATCCTAATCACCACACACTGGCTCTCTAGTAAGGCAGGGCAGGGGCACAACTTCTACTAGACTGCTACCTATTAAAGCTTCTGCTACCTCCCACTACCTGGTGACTAAGACTTTGGAGGAGCACGTACCCAAACCACTTAATATAAAATTATAAGAGTAGGGCGGGCGAGATGGCTCAGCGGTTAAGAGCACTGACTCCTGAGTTTAATTTCCCAGCAACCACATGGTGGCTCACAGCTATCTGTAATGAGATCTAGTGCCCTCTTCTGGTGTGTAAGTGTACATGGAAGGAATGTTGTATACATAATAAATAAATCTTAAAAAAAATAAAATAATAGAGCTGGGCAGTGGTGTAGCACGCCTTTAATCCCAGCACTTGGGAGGCAGAGGCAGGTAGATACCTGTGAGTTCGAGGCCAGCCTGGTCTACAAGAGCTAGTTCCAGGACAGGCTCCAAAGCTACAGAGAAATCCTGTCTCAAAAAACCAAAATAAATTAATTAAAATAATAAGAGTAGCCTTGTCTGTATGCCAGGCTTGTACGGGCTTTGTACTGTGTTATCACATACCTAGCAGTTCTGTGATAATGGTTTATTGTCTCCATTTTATGGGAGGAAAAAATTCTGTAGTATGTCACAAGCAAATGCCAAGGTGGAGTTAGCACCTGTGCACTTTAAAAAATCTGGTGTGTCTTCATGTGATATGGCACCCATGTGGAGATCAGGGAATTACTTGGAGTTGGTTTTCCTTCCACCACAGCAGACCAAGGGATTTAACTCAAGTCATCAGGCTTGGTGGCAAGTGCCTTTCCCCTCTGAGACATCTTACTGCCCTATGCACTTTGACTACAGAACTATTTTGATTACTTCCCCCCAGGCCTTAGTTATTTTTTTTAAGCTTTTGAATTGTCCCAAGTGCCTCTTGGCCCAGTGACTTATCTCTACCCTTGGAAAGAACTGTAGGCACAAGTTTCTGTCCTGCAAGCCACTCCTAGTATTAATTATAAATGCTCAACCAGTAGCTCAGGCTTGTTACTAGCTAACACATTTCAATTAACCCATATTTTTATGTATCCTTTGCCAAGTAGCTTGTAGCTTGGTACCTTGTCTCAGTATGGCGTCTTGCTTCTCTCTGCATCTGGTCACTTATCCAGACTCTACCCTCCTTCCCAGCATCTTCTTATTCTGGCTTTCCCACCCAATCTGTTCCTGCCCAACTACAAGCCAGTCAGTTCTTTATTAACCAATGAAAGTAGTACATACAGTGTACGGAAGGATTGTCCCACAGCAAAGAACTGTATGAAGACTGGGAAATGAAACCATTGGAAGATAGGTTTACTAATAAGTCAGGGTGGCAGGCAGGCATTTTGTTGTTTGGGTGTTTTGAGACAGGGTCTCTATATTCCTGGGTGGCCTAGCACTCCCCAATAAAACAGACTGTCTTTGAGCTTGCAGTGATTCTTCTGCCTCTGCCTCCCAGTGCTGAGTCTATAAGCAATAGCCCCTATATCCAACTTCAGTATAGTGTTTGCTGCCAGAATGTTAGGCTGTTTATATACTGGGAAATACTATCTATGTGGCCCTAAGGGTTTTAAAAGATTATTATTATTATTACTACTACTACTACTACTACTGGGAGGCCAGAGCATTGGATCCCACTGGAGCTGCAGTTATAGGCAAGTGTGAATATCCCCACATGAGTATCAGGAACCGAACTGGGGTCCTCTGCAAGAGTTGTGCGTGCTCTTTCCTGAGCCATTTCTCCATTCCTGGTCCTAAGGTTTTGAGAGGACTGTACAGATGCTCGGCCACTCTCAGGTGCTAGCCCTGGAACGCTTTATGTTTGGTACTGTCAGTTTACCCCAGGACCACCACCCAGTACACAGGATGAGCTGTCCCAGGAGCCATGGCGTCAGTCAGAACTTCCCGTGTTAAAAGGTTGGCTTCTTAACACTTTATATTAAAAAAAAAAAAAGAGCTCATTTTCCATGATGCCCACCAAGAGACGGCCCAGAATGTAGGTTATTCACTTAGCAGCCGTGAGCTGGAATGATAGCAGCCCTCCACTACCAACCCATTTCCTGCCAGCCTCCCCTTGTTTGTCTCAGTCTGGAGTTGTGCAACAACCTCACTCCATTTCACCATTCTGGGGCCTCGGATCTGATGGAATTCTTCTGTCAACCCTCTGAATTTGCCTGTTGGTATAAGTCCGTCTTGCTGTATGATAACATACAGTAGTAGGGAACTGGGGAGTTGGCTCAGTGGTCAGAAACCAGACAATTCCATGTGGGTTTCCAAGGCCTACGCAGCCATCAGCAGGCACCTCTGTCAGCGTGGATCAACAGCAGAGGCGAGGGCAGAACCGAAGATGTTTGGTGTGTCCAGGGTACAAAGCAAAACCCTGTCTTAGCGGCTTCCGTTTCTCAATGTAGGTGTTAGAGAGTGGGTTGGGTACGGCACAGTCTTCCTGTAGGAAATGCATCCCCAGACACCCAGTCTGTCTCAGCAACCAACTGTTAGGTTCTTGGGAAGACGCCCCCTTCTCAGACCGCTTCCTCTCCGCGTTGGAAAACATGGCATCTCTCCTGGGCACTGACTCTACTGGATACTTGGGGTGGAGGAGATGCATCACCCAGCCCCGCAGCCGGCTGGAGAGCAGCTTGCTGCTGCTGTGCAGTTACTCCCACACACATTCGTCAGCTGGCAAGCACACCGCCAGATTCAGGGACTTTCGAGAAAAGGGGAGATTGTGTTAGCAAGCTCCCACCTGTGTGGTTTAGTGATCGTTCTTGACTCATCAGGAAATAACCATGGTTTGCAAGGTGAGCACTAACACATTTGGCAATCATGACTCCCGCCCCAGCCTGTCTTTTATTTGACATCCCTCTCCTTGCTTAATATGGGTAAGACCAGGCTTCCTGCACAGGTGAGTCACCCATCCAGTTGAAATGCTGCTTCTGGTAACTCCAGAGCGCGTGCCGTTAGGAATGCAGGGTTAGACACGTGACAGATGAGGTAGTGACAACTGCTTCGTGTTACAGTTCTCAGTGGGACTTGGTCAGCTTGCCCAGAGATGGCTAGCACCTCCAAAGATTGTCACATTTGATGGAAACCCTTGAGCATATAGGGTTTTGTTTGTTTGAATTTTATGTGTATGGGTGTTTTGTGTGCCTGTGTGTCTGTGTACCACATGCATGCCTGATGCCCAAGGCAGTCAGAGAACAGTCTTGGATCCCTCTGGAGCTAGACTTTTAGGTGGCTGTGAAATGCCCTGTGGGTGCTAGGAATTGAACTTGGAACCTCTTAACCAATGCACCTCTCTCCAGCCTATAGGATTTTATTATTATTGTTACATTTTGTTCATTATTTGTGCGTGCACATGTAAGGTTGTGGGCATTTGAAAGGCAGAGGACAACTTGTTAGGAGTTGTCTTCTTCCACGATGTGGGTCCTGGGAATTGAACTCAGGTCATCAGCCTTGGCTGCAGGTGCCTTAACCCACTGAGCCATCTTGCCTGGCTTTTCTTTTGTCAGTGCTAGGAACTGAACTCAGCCTTGTGCAAGCCTGAGAAATACTCTACCACTGATCTCCAGCCATTTTTTTTCCTTTCTAAAAAAAAAAAAAAGTTGTATTTATTTGGGGGCTGGTGAGATAGCTCAGCCACTAAAGTCATTAGTTGCTCATGCAGAGAACCTGGGTTATGTTCTTAGCACCGACATGATGGCTCACAACTATCTGTAAGTCTAGATCCAGAGGTGTGGGCCCCTCTTCTGTTCTCTGAGGGACCCAGGAATGCATGTGGCCAAACATGCATCCCTACATACATGCAGACAAAATACTCATAAGTTTGGGTGGAGAGCCGGGCGATGGTGGCGCACGCCTTTAATCCCAGCACTCGGGAGGCAGAGGCAGGCGGATCTCTGTGAGTTCGAGGCCAGCCTGGTCTACAAGAGCTAGTTCCAGGACAGGCTCCAAAGCCACAGAGAAACCCTGTCTCGAAAAAACCAAAAAAAATTAAATAAATAAATAAATAAATAAATAAAATAAAAATAAAAAAATAATAAATTTGCGTGGAGAAATGGCTAAGTGGTTGCTCTTCAAATCCTAGCACCCAAAAGCCAACTCAAAACTGTAATTACAGTTTCAGAGGGTCTAACTCCCTCTTCCGGTTTGCGACGGTACCAGGCATATATGTGGTGGACAGACATACAAGCCGGCAAAACACCCATACAGATAAAAATAAATAAAATGAAAGAAGAAAGGAATGAACTACCATAGCTCACAATTAAAAATAAAATTAAGTTTAAATGGAGTAAGTTACTTCAAATGTTTCTTTTTCTTAGCCCTTTCATCTTTATGTCTACTGAGTCGCCAAATGGTAAACTGAGTTTGCCACGTTGCTCCTCCTCGGCCCTTGCCTGGAGACTGTCAGCTAGGTCCCTTAGCACTCTGCACAGGTATCACCGGGATTTACTGATCCTTCACTCACCAGGCCAAGTTCAATCCTGGTGCCTTGGCCAGCGCCTCCCAATCCTTACCTGGCTGTGAGTCAGGGGTGGCAACAACCTTGGAGAGGCCCTGGAGGATTAACGCGGTTAAAATGTTTATCCAAGTCCCACTTCAGAGCCAGGAAGCGCCCCATTGTGGGTTAGGTCTCTAAGGATCATACCTCACTGTTGCCTCTGAAAAGGTGCCAGGAGCTCTGTAGAGACGGGATGCCCAGTTCCCGACCTGCCCCTGGGAACTCCTCTGAGGCAGCAAATTCAGGTTCACCTTCTCGCTGGCGGTGTCATCTGCCCGGGTGTCCCGTGAGATGGGGACAGCAGTTACTCCCCCTGGTCCAGAACCCCGGCGTCCTGGATTTCTGTGGTGTGGGGCGCCGGCAGTTTCTGATATGTTCTCTCCGCGGACTTCGGGTTTAATACACACCAAGTGCCTGCCTGGCTCGGATTTGTAATTTATTTGGGCCACCTACGGCGCTCCTTGCTTGATGGGATCAGAAGGGCCCTCCCTCTGTGCGTGCTGGCTAAATTCACTCACCATTTCCCCATCTAAGTGGATTTCCACGCAGCCTTAAGGACAGGGTCAGCGCTCTGTGCTGGACCCCAGCCGAGCAGCCCAGAGAATCCCTCCACGGGAAGGTAATCCGTGTCACCAAGTCCCCTGCCATTTGCGTGTGAAGGTGCGGAACTGTGTGGTCATGGAGCTGGAGCTCCATGGAGTGGGAGCTGGGAGCTGGAGTGGGAGATGGGAGTACCAGGCGAGTCGCGAGGCCCAGAGCTCCACTGGTCAGGATGGCTTCTCGGAGGAGGAGCGACAAGGAGGACCCAGCCCCGGGCCGCGGGGTGGGCGGAGCCAGGGACCCTCACAGCCTCTGATTGGGCGACGCAGCCGAGCGGAGCTGCTCCGCTGGCTCCGATTGGCTGGTGGGGCCGGCTCTGCGGCCAGGTGATGCCGAGGATCGGTCCCTGGGCCACGTGGGGGGCGCGGAGGCGGAGGCGGGACGGGCTCGGCGCTGGGGAGGCGCTCAGGCAGTGAGGACCCGAGCTGTGAGACCTGCCAAGAAACGCGACAGCGGTGGTGAGTGCGCGCGGGGACCCTCTGGGCGTGGGTCGGGTCGGGGGGGGGTCTCCCAGAAACGAGCCACACCACCACCTCCCGCCACGAGCTGTTGTCATCATCCCAGCCCTCGTCTCCATCCCTTTCTTTCTGGCGCCGGGGAACCTGAGTTCCCCAAAAACCTAATGTGGGGACGGTGACGTTTGCGAGGTCGCTGTCAACGCTCGCACGCGCTCCGCACCTCCGCGCGCGACCGTGTCGGTGTTTTCCGCATCCAGCCAGCGTGCTCTGCGCGTTCAGATAGATTATCGGGAGGAACAGAGGCTGATGAACAGCTCCCAGGACGTGGCTGCCTTCGTGGTCCCCTCCACAGCTGAGGTCCTGGAGGCTGGCAGGACAAGGTCACACCAACTAACCCTGCTGAACCCCAGTCCTGTCCCTGGTTGCGCGGGTCCAGAACTCGTGGGAGGCGGGGAGCGAGGGCGCAGGGGATCCGGGGTGTGATGGGCTTGGGAGAAGGAGTTCTGCCTTTCTAAACAGTTCTGTCCCCAGCTCCTGAGTTGTTACGGACTATGGGACTCTACTAGTGGCTGCTGTTCCTGCGGCACCTATTCCTGCGCAGACCCAGATTCAGTGTGTGCCAAGGATGGACGCCTGCTTGGGGGACCCATAGACTCTAGGCAGAAGGGCACTGCCATGCCTAGGCAGAGAGTCTTGGATTTGCCAGCTCCCTATCCTGTGCTCTGTGTCTTTGGTCAAGTAGCTGGGATCTGCAGGCAGGGTTGTCTCCCCGGTAGCCTGGGGGGATGGGTAGTTCCGCTATAAGGTATATATAGAGGGACCTGTGATTCGATGTGCAGTCAGCCTAGCCAGTTCCCTGATCCTAAGCAGAACCACCCAGAAAACAGAAGCTCAGCACCATCCCAAATGTGTCTTTCTGTAGGAAGGCTCTGGCCCAGAAGATCCCTCTGAAAAACTTTGATTTGATTCAGAGAGATGAGCTGGGTGTGCGGTTGTTACCTCGTCACACACACACACACACACACACACACACACGAGACAACAAGCGGGTCTCTGTGTGAAAGTATGAGGTGCTCTAACCCTTGGTTCTTTACCCCTCCTTTCCCTGGTGCTTGCTGGGCCCTGTGGCCCAGGCAGGGCATGAAGGGCTCTTGACAGCTTTGTCTCTTTTGTGGTTGCTTTTCTTCTCACCCTGTTCCTCCTCCCCGCACCCCCCTTCCTTGTGGATCTCATTGCTTGCTGTGTGTCTTGTGGTCTTCTCCTCCTCGCTCTCCTCTGCCTACAAGGGTGATGGGAAAGTGAAGAAGCTCTTCACTGCCTCCCGGGTAACCCGGTCCCCCTGCTGGGAAGGGGCGGGCAACCCGTGGCAGGTGGAGTGTGGTTTGCTTTCCGCAAACATCAGATGTGGGACAGGCGACTGGAAAATGAGCAGGATTAGAAAGGGAGGGTCAGAACCCAGGTTGGCAGCAGCCTCACGGGGGTCTGGGTGGGCTCTGAGAGAGGCTGCAGCCTTTGTTTCCCGCTCTTCTTGGCTGGCCTCTGGCTTGAAGGTCACTGTCAGTCAGAGATGGAGGGCCCCTCCTGGGTTCTAAGAGGGTCAGTTTTAAGGCAGCCAAGTCCCTCCCTTTCCAAGCACTGCTGATACTCTGGTACACCCAGGCCACGCTACTAACCCCTGGTCTCTCCAGGGGAATCAAAGCCTCCAGCCAGCCTTCCTAGCCTACTCCCAGTGGTGGTGAGGGGCTCCAGTTCAAAAGTCTTGAAAGTGCTACAGTTTGCTGTCTTCCCAAGCTCCCTTCTCAAACGGGACCTCATCTCCTGTGCCATGTCAGATTGGCATCATGCCAGGTACCTCACTAATTCCACAAGGCTTGCAGGTGAGGAAGTGAGGGCACAGAGAGGTAGGGCAGCTGGCCCAAAGCCACGCAGACCTTGCACCCAGACTTCTCTGACTCAAGTCAGTAATTGCAAAAAGGTTGGTGTGTGAGAGAGAGGAGTGTCTTATGTTGTGGGGGGGGCGGGGGGTGGAGCTGAGTCTGCGGGATTCTGCCTTGCATAGCCGGTCCGTTATTCATCTGTCCCACATGATTCCCCCCCCCCCCCATGGATCTGGCCAAGGGTCCCAGAAAAAACACAACAGGGGCGAAGCAGGAGTGCTGTTTGTCAGTCTCCTGGGCAACTGTCCGTCTTCTCCACATCCCACTAAGTACCGGTGCCCCATTTGCGTGGATTGTGGTTTCCTGCCCTGCAAAGAAAGGGCTTTGGGACTCAGGAAGGGACTGGAGTCAGGCGGGACAAATGCGCCAGCAGCCTTTAGAACGGGTACCTGGCATCACTAATGCCAGCCATGCAGCTCACCACCGCCGGGCCCTGCTGCTGCCCCAGGGCCTGCTATGGCTCCCCATCGTCCGCAGCCTAAGTCTCATACTTAAGGCTGCTCCTGAGTCCGATGCAGCCGGCTGTTTTGGCAGTCCACTGCAGGGCCTCCCTTCTTCCTGTGGCTGCTGCTCCACTCTTTAGTGGACTCTTCCCATACCGTTAGGCTTTTTCTAGGACACCTTTCTCAAGATGGGGGTCTTGTATTGCCCACACTGGCCCTGAACTCCTGGGTTCATATGATTTTTGGCCCCCCTCCCTTGGCCTCCTGGAGAAGCCAGAACTACTAGCAGACATCAGTTTCCTTCTGGCACTAAATAAGAACTGGTTCCGAATTTCTACCAGCTTCCCCATCACAGAGGGGCCAGCCAGCACTGCAGCCCCAGCTGTAGCTCAGTGGCCCGTGCCATGAGCCATCCCACTTCTAATCAATCCCTCCCCAAACCGCCTGCCAGTGCAGTTTTCAGCCACAGAGGAGCCTCCAACCCCATCTGTCGCGCTTCTCCATTTTGCCACCGTCTCACCTGTTCAGGGCTTTTTATTTCATTTTCTGCCTTGCCCCCGCCCAAGGACGCTGTTCTCAGAAGCAGGCAGTTTGTCTTTTGTCTCTCTGTCCTGGGCCCAGGATACTGATGGGCATGTAGCAGGCCCTCAGTGAGGATTTGTTGGTTGGCTGAATGAATGAATGAGTGTTGGAGCAAGCAAATGAATGAACACACCAGCCCCTGAGAGGGAGCCTTCAACCTTCCTGCCTGAAAACCAAACTCTGCCCTGCCCTTTGTAGCCTTCTCTCCGTGGAGCTCGAAGCTGGGCATGCTGGGGACCATGCAGAGGGCTGGGGCCGGGGCCCGCAGGGCCTCCGACTGTGGGCCTCTACCTTACCGGCCCAGGTGCATTGCCAAGCTTGCCCAGGTGGGTGGGTGTCCCTCTTGTGTGCTCTGGAAGACAGGTGTGGGGTGGCTGCTCCCTGGGGTTGGGGAGGACCTGGGGCCCAAGGACCTAACTCCATCTCCTATGGAATGGATGATGTGTGTACGTGAACATTGGTGTAAGTGAGAAGAGGCCCATGTGACCTGACCAGGGTCTCCTGCTGAAAACATTAACAAAGACCACTGGCCTCCAAGCACAGTGCTCGGTCACTGCCCGCAGCTTATCTGCAGGGCGGAGTGCTGTGTGCGCTGGAGTCGTGGCCCTTACTCTGTTTCTTGTTTCTCCCCATCACCGCCAGTATGTGGGATCCTTTCCTGTGGATGACTTGGATACGCAGGAGGGTGTGTACCTTGTGCAGCAGCAGCTGTGGGCACTGCAGGTGAGGGTCTTGGGGGGCACAACCCAGAGCTGCGCACTGTGAGTATCAGCCTTGGATGGAAGCCTGAAGCCAGTCTCCCCTCACCCCCACATCGTCCAGATGGACACATGGGGGGGGCCAAGGGAGCACGATGGAACCAAAGGTCTTCTGAGAGGTCCCAGGACTCTTCCTGCATGCCTGGGGATCCATGACCCAGAGGTCATAGCATGACTGTCACCCAGGTCTCCATCCCAGGGCAGGGGTGTTGGAACTGGCTGAGCAGCCTTGATGAGGGGCACTGTGGCAGGACTGCGTTGGGCCAGAACTAGGAAGTGACGTCCACCTTTGCCAACTCTCGTCCCCTCAGGACTGTTCCCGACGCCGCGCCGTCATCCTGAAATTCAGCCTTCAGGGTCTCAAGGTCTACAGTGGGGAGGGCGAGGTAGGAGGAGTAGAGGGGGCCCCAGCGGTGAGGGCCACACTGGTCTTCTTACAGTTTGCCTTATCCCCCCCCCCCAGGACAAGCTCAGACAGCAATTGCTTGCCTAGCCCTCCAGAATCTTCTCTAGAAGCCACCTCCTGTCCTAAATATCAGGGACAAACACCCCATGAGGTTTTCCAAGTGCCTGGCCCAGCACTGGCTGGTGGCTGTGGACAGCCATGGGCTAGAAATGACAGGGAGCTCTTGCATGCTTGCCTGCCCCTCCCTGGCTTCCCATTGTACAACCAACATGGCTGCCTATTGACTGCCTGGCCAGATTATGCAATCCACAGCTGCAGGCTTCTTCTAGGAAGCCCAGTGCTGAGTGTGGCAATGCTCGGGAGTCCTACACCACGGGCCTGAGGCATTGCTACTGTCTGATGTGACAGCAAGAGACACTCAGGGGACTGCCCTCCTATGGAGAGGAGAGTGAGTGGCAGAGCTGGGAGTTAAACTCCGAGCGGCCTACCCTAGGTACCAGAGTAGAACCCAGGGTCTGCTTCCATGGCCTCTGTGTGGTTCCAGCTAGAGATTGCTGGGTCACTGTTCTGTCCCTTGGTTCCATAATTTGGGGTGACCATCCCTACCTATCTGTCTGCAACAAGCCCAGAGCTATGAGCGCTGAGGGCTGGGGCTTGGCAGGCATCTGGGAAAGAAGGATCTCTTCACCCCAGGAGGTGGGTGGCCTATGCCAGACATGTGAGGCCCTCAGGCCACTGCCACACAGGTGAGTGCGACCTGCCGTCACCACGATGCCTCACAGGTGCTCCTGATGGCCCATGCCCTGAAGCGCATCCTCTATGCCACCTGGTGCCCAGCCGCCTGTCAGTTTGCTTTTGTTTCCCGGAACCCACGCAGCCCAGCCAGCAAGCTTTTCTGCCACCTCTTTGTGGGGAGCCAGCCTGGAGAGGTACCTGAGACCCAGGGGGTAGTGTGCCTTGAGGGGACTGTGCTGTCATCAGGAGGCAGGGGTGAATCCGTGCCTCACCACCCCGGCTTTTGGCTCTTCCCTCCTAGGACCGTGTGTAGTAACATTCCCTAGACTAGCTGGAACTTTTCTCTGCTGTAGGGTGCCCACCCTCCCTCACCCTGGCTAGTTCCCATCACCCTACAAAGCCCAGCCCACCGGAATGTAACATGATCCACACTCCAGCAAGGGGCTGTCCCTGATGACAAGACCCTTGAGTCCGTTTAACAGCAGAGGCTTGCTCCAGGTTTTGAGTTGTCCCTAGGTGACCCTGTGTAGCACACGGGGTAGGTCATAGGCAGGTGTACTAGAGGGTGTGGTCACTGTGAATGTCACATCTGTGGCAGCCTGTCATTTAGTGAGTTCCGGCATTTGGCCTCACCTCTGGATGTGGACCCTGGGTGGCAGGTGGCAGGTGGCTGAAGCTGAGGGTTCCACCATCCTGGGTCTGAATTGTGTGAGTGAGTGAGGGGTTCCACGTTCAGGCCCCAGACAGTGCCCCATCTCATTAACTCCTCAGAGGATCGTGGGGAGGCGAGGATGAAGAAACAGGCACGGGGGCGCCATGCTGTACCCTGGTCACCCAACAGCTCCCAATTGAGAGAGCTGGGGCCAAGGCTGCTAGCTGCTCCTTCTCCGGGTGTTGAGGGCTGGAGCACTGGGAGGATGTTGAATGTGGTGTAGGCGTGCAAGCGGGCCCAGGGTTGTGCTCTCTGCTCCCAGCTTGAGGCCCGGCACAAAGTGACTTGGTAGTGAACAGACCAGAGAGAGCTGGTAGCTGGCGGAGGCTGCCTGGGGTGGGATTTTGAGTGCTAAGTAGGAGTTTTTCCAGGAAGTTCTGGGAAGGGCACCCGAAGCCAGGGGGGGCATTTGCAGCTCTGAAGATTGGGCTGGTGCATGAGGGGCTTCCAGGATGCTGCTGCAGCTGAGCCCACCCCTCCTGTCCTAGGTCCAGATCCTGTACCTGCTGCTCTGCCGCTCCTTCCAGCTTGCTTACCTCCTGCAACACCCGGAGGAGAGGGCGCAGCCTGAGCCCTCCCTGGGGCCAACGGGGGATATGTCCCCGAAGCCACTCTGCAGCCCTGGGGCATCCCCTGCCCTAGTGCGAGAGCCCTTCAGCCGGGGTCAGCTATCACAGAACGTCCACGCCCTGGTTTCCTTCCGTCGAGTTCCTGCAGAAGGGCTACTGGGCAGTGGTGGGGTATGCAGCACCCGTCAGGAAGTGGATGGGGGGAAGGATCAGGGGCTTGGGGGTTATGTTGGAGGGGTGGGATTCTTGCAGGGTTCGCCTGGGCTCTAACAGATGGGTCTGAATCTGCCTGCCCACGGGCCCCTCTTGGTGCCCTAGAAGGAGCTGCCAGAGCCTGAGGGCCGTGGTGGCAGCCGTCACACTCGCCTGGGGAACCCCTACTGCTCTCCCACACTGGTGCGCAAGAAGGCCATTCGCAGCAAGGTGATCCGCTCTGGGGCCTATCGAGGTTGCACATACGAGACTCAGCTGCAGCTATCAGCACGGGAGGCCTGTGAGTCGGAGGAGGTTGGCTGGCTGGCTGGCTGGCTAGTGAACTTGGCAGGGGGTGGGGGTTCATGCATAATTTTTTTGAGGCTGTGGCCTCACCCCCTAGTACCCACCTGTGCCTTGAGGGCGACTAAACATTTGTATACGGACTGTAGCTGGTGAGCTTAGGGTTTCTGGTGGGGGACCAGCGATGGGGATGTGTGTGGTAGAGGAGCAGGTCTGGCATTGAGAGGGTCCTCCATGCTTCTTCTGATCTCTGTGGTCTCCGCAGTTCCTGCTGCCTGGGAGGCATGGCCCCGCAGCCCTGGCGGTCCCTCCTGCCTGGTGGAGAATGAGGGTAGCCTGACTGAGAACATCTGGGCCTTCACTGGCCTCTCCAGGTAAGGGAGCTCTGTCCCTTGGGTTTGTGAGGCCGGCCCGTGTCGTGTGTGCATGGGGCGCATAGGCAGAGTATATGGGCCTTGACTGGGGGGTGTGGGATGCTCCCAGCTAGGTGACCTCAGGCATGATCTTTTTCTACCTGAACCTCAGTTTTCCAGAATGTAAAATGGGAGAGGAACAAGACACAGTGTCTGGCCTGTCCCTGCCAGCCTTCCCGGGGTTCTTCAGACCTCTCCTGACCAGGGCCTTGAAGTCAGCAAGTCAGGTCCCCAGAAGGCCTGAGTTCCTTCAAATTCTGTTCACGGGGTGGCTGGCTGATCTGGTCCAGAACGTCTGAGAGCACACATCAGTCCTCTGTCACCACCATCAAGCTCTTGGGGCTAGTATGTCCCTGCTCGGGACAACAGTCTGGAGTCTGGGGTCAGACTGGTGGCCTTAACCTTGACTCCGTCCCCCCAGGTCCTGTGCTCTTGCCCTGCTGCGGAGAGATGTGCATGGGGCCTTCCTGCTGTGGCCAGAACCGGGGACCAGTGATCAGTGGAGCCTGTCTGTACGGACCCAGTGTGGTGTGGTGCCTCACCAGGTCTTCCGGAACCACCTGGGCCGGTACTGCCTAGAGGTGAGACTGTGGGGTTACCCTAAGGGGCTTCCAGCTCCACCCCGGTGCTAGCTCCATCCCTTGTCATGCTTACTCTGCCTTCTTCCAGCCTCTGAGCTCCTGAGCCCAGCTCACTTCATCCTGCCCGCCCCCTGGGTGCTCTCTGGCCCCACCCCTTCTCCTAGTCCACTCCTGTCCCGTTGGCCCTGCTGGTTCTACTTCTGTTCTTTTGGGGTTTTGTTGTTGTTGTTGTTGTTTGTTTTGTTTCAAGACAGGGTTTCTCTGTATAACTCTGCTTGCCCTGGAACTCACTCTGTAGACTAGGCTGGCCACAAATTCACAGATCCTCCTGCCTCTGCCGCCCTGTGCTGGGAGTAAAGGCGTGGGCCACCACACCAGCCCTTACTTTCATTCTTTCTGGCTTGGTGATGACCACAGAGATCAAGGAGAATCTCTGAGGTTCCTGACCACCGAGGTCCTCCCCTCTAGAGGTGCCATCCTGAGGTGACCTCCAGTAGAGCTGGACCTAAATGCACGCAGCTTCTGAGTCTCTGGTCTGATTCCAGGATTGGGCTGGGAAGGCTTTTACATGGCATCTGTACTTCCAAACCAACTGCCTCGGTCCTGCCCAGGCTGGGAAGAATGGGAAATGGTGACTGGTCCCGTGGTCACTGCGCATTCTGCCTTTCCAAATGTATCCCTCCCCATGATGGGAGACCGGGGTGAGGGTGGGGTGCTGATCTATGGCATGAAAACCGTGGGGCAGGGAATAGAGCTAAAGACCCTTCCTCCCCAGCACCTGCCAGCAGAGTTCCCCAGCCTGGAGGCCCTGGTGGAGAGCCACGCCGGGATGGAGCGCAGCCTGTTCTGCCCACTCAGCATGGGCCGTCTGAACCCCACCTATGAAGAGCAGGACTGTGGTCCTGAGGGCAGGCTCCCACGGACTCTGCGGCCCCTCAGCCACGCCAAGTCCGAGGCAGAACTGCAAGGCCTGGGCTAGGACACAAGGCCTCAATCCCCTGTGGGCCTGGCCTTGCCTTGGCCCCTGGGCTATGGCAGCCACTCTGCCCTTCTTGTACCCCACTCGCTGGTCAGCAGCTTCAAACAGGTCCATCTGCCCCTTGATCAGTCTTCCATCACTTCACTGCCCATGGGAGGGGAGCCCTGAGGTTGGAGCTGGAGATAACAGGGCTTCTCGCAGGACCTGGGGCCAGCTGAGACGTCAGGATGAGCAAGCAGGTAGACCTAAGGGTTGGTAACTCTTGGTAACTTTGGGCGGTAGCTATTGCCAGGTTCCCACTGTCCTCCTCGTGCAGAGGCTTTCCCAGCTGCCCTGGCTGGAGGAAGCTAAGCCTCTGCTGGACAGGGAAGCCCAGAGAACTCCCATAGGGAACCAGGTGCTCAAGGAGTTGGAGGTTTGCCATCCTCAGCTCACTTCCCGGGGTCAGTGCATGGAGTGGGGCCCACAGTGAGCAAACCACAGTCAGTTTGGTAACAGCTTTAGGAAGCCAGCAGATGCTGGCCATTGGGCGTGGCTGGCACTGGTCACCTCATTGGTAAGTCAGCCCCACTTGCAATGGAGAACTAGAATGAACCCAAACCCCACAGGGGGGTGTGTGGCCTTAGCAGTGGGAGGTCCAGGGACACATTCTAGAGGAAGGCAGTGGCAAATCCAGGTGTCCCTACGTCAACTCAGAAGAATATATGAATCTACCCAAAGAACAGACTTCTTAGCCAGGAGGTGGTCACACACCCCTTTAATCCCAGCATTCGGGAGGCAGAGGCAAGTTTTGAGGTCAACCTGGTCTATAGATGAGTTCCAGGACAGGCAGAGCTACACAGAGAAACTGTCTTAAACAATAAACAGACTTCTTTTGGAAGCAGAGGTAGAGGCACGGATGGGAGAGGATGTTTGTGTTCAGTGCCTTGGGGGCCACAGGTTTGGGGTTTTGGATCCCAAGGGAAAGGGGCAGCCTCTACAGAACAGAGAGGGGCCTAACCTGGGAGCAGGAGGCGGGCCAGGCCTGGTACTTCCGACTTCTAGCACCCACTCCCCCCTCACACACATCCTAGGATAATCTAAGGCCATTGTCATTTCTTTTGAGTGACATGTCTCATGTGGGATGGAGAGAATGGTGTCTGTGGGAACCTTTCAGAGGGATAACACCCCGCCCCGATTGGATGTGGGTGGTATTCCTTCTATGGCCATTTCCACTGGCATCCCCCACTCTGAGTAGGGGCCTGGTCCCCAGGAGGAGCAGAGGGATTAGTATATCCTGTGCCTAGGATTTCAACCCCAGAAAGTTCCACCTAAGGAAAGCCGGTGACTAACTGGCCCAGACTTTAGATCAGCACTCACCCCCAGGAGGGTGTGTACACAGTGTGAGTCACTGCTGTAGGCCATACCAGGGGATATTCAACACATCCAAGGGACAGGCCTTCTCCATACCCCTTAACACTTCTTCCAGGGCTTTTACTGATCCCATGGTACAGACCGCACAGTTTGGAGCCCATGTGTTCTAACTGTGTCTTAATTACAGACCATAGTTCTGTCTTTATTCAAACATCACCAAGTCCCCACTGTGTGGACTTTGAGAGAAATAAAACACATTTCTTCATGGTTTATTGCAGTTCCTTGAGTGGCTAGATCTTCATCGACCTTTTCTTGTTTTGCTTTTGTTTGCCAAACTTATTGCAGATGGTATGGGATGGTGAGCCTAGCCGAGGTCCTGGCCACCAGTGTCCAGGAAGAAAAGGAAGGGAGTGGTAGGGCTTGGTGGAGAGATCTTATAAGAAAAAGACCCAAGGGCCAGTGAGAAGGCTCACTGCTTTCTGTCGAACCCGCTGACCTGAGTTTGATCCATTGGGCCCACATGGGGGAAGGAGAGAACCATTTCCTGCAAGTTGTCCTCCGGCCTCCACATTGGGTGTACGTTTGTGCATTCGTGCAGCTGCACCCATGTGCAAACACACACACACACATAATTAAAAAAATTAAGACTGTGCTGCTAACTCAGGCTTGCTTACTGCCCCAGCAATGTAGAGCAGACCATTCTCACAGCCTAGGCCTGCCTAAACCTGATCTGAGCTCCAGTTAGACCTAAGATACTTGTCCTGACTCCCTCCTGCAACTGAATTAGTAGTTCATTTGTAGTCACTTTGCATGTGTGTGTTTCCCTTCCAATGTTAGTTTTCCCTACTAGTCTGCAAGAGGGCTGCCTTCCCAGCGCCTGCCATATGACTGACATCATGGTATTTATGCAGAGGAACCCTCAGGAGCATTGCAGCTGGGTGGGTGGTTGGTGACTTAAACTGGGCCGGGAGATTAAGCTGTGTGGTCTTTCTAACAGAAAGACTACCTCCTAAAGTTTTTGTCTTTTTAATTTTTTTTTTAAGTACATTTATGCTGGGCAGTGGTGGCTCAGAGTTCCAGGCCAGCCTGGTCTACAAAGCGAGTTCCAGGACAGCCACGACAACACAGAGAAACCCTGTCTCGAAAAACCAACCTCCCCCAAAAGGCCCCCAAAACATTTATTTATGTATGTGGACCCCTTGTAAGTCAGTTCTCTCCGTGTGGGTCCCAGGGGTCCCATCAGGCTGGGCAGCAAGCGCCTTTCACTAGTTGAGCCATCTTGCTGGTCCAGTTTTCGTGTCTTTTAAAATCCCAGCTCTTAAGACTGGCTCTATCATCTGGAAGCTTCACCCTGCCATAAGGAACAGCGAAGTCCACGTCACCCTCTCAGTCTCTAACCCCAGAAGAAGATGAAGATTTTTAGCCTGGTTGCCGAACCTCTGGGCTGGAGCTGTGAAGCCTGGGAGACAGAGAGGAGGGTCAGGGCTGCCCCTACCACAGCCTGCAGCCGGGCTCTCCGGGTTCTGGGCGTTCGGCGGTCCGCCCTGTGATGTCACGGACGTTGCCCGGCAACGGCGAACGCCGAAACGGCGTGCACGAGCGCGAGCGTGGCCCGGCCAGCTCCGGGGCTCGGGTCGTGCGGCGGCGCTTGCAGCGCGGATCCCCCGTTCCCCGCCCGGGCCCGGCCTCAGGGACGGGCGAGCCCGGGCGCGGGAGGCGGCGGCCCGGGCTCCAGCCCGGAGACTTGTCCGCCGCTCCCCACCTGCTTCCAGCGCGCCCCGCGCGGAGTCCCGGCCCCCGGCTGCGGCCCCGCCCCTGCCGTCAGGCCACGCCCCACGAGGGCTCTGGCCCCACCTCCTGGAGTGGGCCACGCCCCCGGGGCTCGCGGGGCGCTATGGCTTCGGAGTCCGTGAAGGTGGTGGTCCGCTGCCGGCCCATGAACCAGCGCGAGCGCGAGCTGAGCTGCCAGTCGGTGGTGACGGTGGACTGCGCGCGCGGCCAATGCTTCATTCAGAACCCAGGAGCGGCTGACGAGCCCCCAAAGCAGTTCACCTTCGACGGCGCCTACTACATGGACCACTTCACCGAGCAGATCTACAACGAGATCGCCTACCCGTTGGTGGAGGTGAGGGTGCCCCGAGACTGCAGGGCTAGGCTTGGGGCTCCCCGAAAGTGGAGACGGGATAGGTTGGTTAACTCAAGCCCTTTCTGCCCAAGCCAAGCGAGGAGGCGCCGGGCACAGGAGGATAGCGACAGGTTAGTCTGCAGGCTGTGTCCTGGCTGCAGACACTTGGCACCTGTCTCCATTGTGGTGTCCCCATTGAACCCAGAGCCCCAGCCGGTCTGCACCCTCGTCCTTTGCAGCCCTTACCACAGAACCTAGGACCATTCAACGCCTCAACTTGTCGTGACCCTCATCCCTTGCAGCCCCTTGACCACAGACTCCAGACCCAGATCCCCAGGTCCTCTGCACTCATTCCAGACCTGCAGAATCCTGAAAGCCCCCACCATTTCCCCCAGCCTTCTTTCTTCTCAAGAGTCCCAAGATTCTTCTCTTCTAACAGGTGATGGTCCACATTTGCTCCCATTTCAGTCCCCCTCCCCCTCAAAGTCCTCCTCGTTTCATGCTCCTCTTTTCATGAGAGCAGCGGAGGAAACTCGTCTTTCTGAGATGGAACAGTGCGTGGCTTCCGTAACATGCCCCAGTATCTGAGATTCGGAGAGGTTCTGCTGCAAAGAAACCCATTTGAGTTCACTGACCTGGCCTTGCCAAAACATTTAACATAGCTGCTTTCTGTTGCAGCTGTCCTGCCTGTTGGGAAGGCTGATGTATTCTGAAGCCTCCACGCTGTCTGGCTTTGAGCCAGGAGTAAATGCACCATTAGAGTCTAGGGTCAAGTGTGTATCTCTGCTCTGCTGAGCTCTGACCCTACTCCCAAGGCTTTCTGACTGGTGATGTGGACCACAGAGCTCATGGCAAGAGGTGATTCCCTCGGAATACTCAGAGGACGATGGACAGTTCCCCCAAAGGGGCTGGTCCCACTCTCTCAGGATAGCTTAGTTGTCTATCTGCTGGCCAGGTGTTCTAGACTAGAAGGGACCCAAGAGGTCATCTGACTGGTTCCCTCTTGTTTATCAGGTGTCTGAATCTCCATCACGTAAAGAGCCAGTTCTTGCTTGCGTGTCTTCAGTGGCTGAAGTTCATGCTTCTAAAGTATTCTGTTCCTCTTTGGTTTCATGGTCTTCAGAGTTTTACACCCACTCCGAGGCATCCCGGGAGCTTTCCGTCCTTCCATGATCCTAGGGACCCTGCAGGGCACCGTCTTCTTCTATCTAGGCTTGGCATCTTGAAGACTTGAACTCACGTTCTTCCGTGGCCCTGATTCTCTCTAGTGATGTCTAGGGCTGTCAGGGTGAGGCCTCAGTTGCCTGCTTTGTGGATTATGCAATAGCCAAGCAAGTCCCACCCAGAGAGGAAGACACTAAGGACACAGTGACAGGCCTGTTGGACAGCTCTTCCACCGGCTTTCTCTTCTGAGTCCCACTGTGCAGTCCTATCTCTAGACACTCCCCAGATCTCAGATTTGACATCCATCCATTCATTAATCCATTCACCCATCCACGTAAGGAAACACTACCTTTTTCACTGTGAGACCCCAGGTTGTGGGGAGGGTGTGTGAAGGCAATAGGACTTGCCTTCATCAAGGTCAAAGGAAAAACAGCTAAGCTAACCTTTAGCAGTTGGTGATCAGGGATGGGCAGCATGGGGAGGCCAGCAAACCTTGGGAGAGATAGAGGGGAGAACAGACTAAGATAGGATCTGCAGGATGCTAGCCAAGCAGAAGGTAGAAGGCTGTCGGGGAAAGACTGGCATGTAGTGTTTGATCCTCACAAGAAGAGCTGGAGTCGTTGTTGTCAGAGAAATGACTGAGGCCTGAGGAGTCATGGAACAAATTAGGGACAGTTCCGGATCCCTGTGTCCAGATTCCATGCTCCCATGGGCATGGAAAGCCCATGCAGGTCACAGCCCTAGCTGCTTAAGCTTAAGTGAGGCCAGTGGCTGGGTAGACCATGGGTCTGCCTGCTTTGTCCCTCTCCAGGGCTTCTGGGCAGGTAGCTTGGGCCTCCTAGCCAGGATCCACCCTCAGCTCCTGTCCCATGCTGTCCCCATACTTCACATCCACTTCCTGTCTTTTTCCTTCCATCCTCCATCCCTTCAGTCCAGACTCTGTCCCTCATCTCTTGTCTCCAACTGAACTTTTCAACTCTCCTGGAGCTTCCTTCTGGACACCATCCTTGGCTGACTCCCATCCCATCTTGCCTGATCCAGCTTCTGCCACCCCTTTAACCAGCAGCCCTGGCATCCCGTCTCCGGCCCCTGACAGATTTCTAGAGAGTTGCCTCTTGATGAGTTACCTCTAGTCTCCCCCAGTGCTCCATAGCCACTGCTTCTGTTATGACCGGACTAAGAAGGGTGGCCCCGGTTCCCTGTGCGGAAGCAGTGGTAGAACGTTCACCCAGGGGGACATTTGGGAGGGGGCGTACAGAAGATGTGGTGCAATTTGGGATGGTTATTTCCACTTTGATTGAATAGTTGGAGGAAATATGTAGTATGTCTAGTGTGCTGTCATGAGGCTGATTGCTGAGGATGACACCAGGTTGAAGCTCTTTGCTGGGCTGGGAGCACAGCTCAAGTGTGGAGCCCTTGTCCAGCATGTGTGATGCTCTAGATTTGATCTCGGTACACAACACACACACACACACACACACACACACACACACACACACACACACGGGGGGGTAGGGAGATCAACTGTTGTTTTTTTTTCTTCTTTTGCTCTTTGGGGGCCTGCCATCCAGCCCCCAAAATAATCACACGGAGACTTATTCTTACTTATGAATGCCCAGCCTTAGCTTGGCTTGTTTCTAGCCAGTTTTTCTTATATTATCCTGTCTACCTTGTGTCTGTGGACTTTTATCTTTCTCTATTTCTGCATACCTTTCTTTACTTCTTACTCTGTGGCTTGCTGTGTAGCTGGATGGCTGCCCCTGATTCCTCCTCCTTTTCTTGCTCCTCAATCTTTTGTCTCCCAGATTTCTCCTCCTATTTATTCTCTCTGCCTACCAGCCCTGCCTATCCCTTCTCCTTCCTGGCTATTGGCCGTTCAGCTCTTTATTAAACCAATCGGGTATTTTAGACAGGCAAAGTA